TGTTGGGGGTTAGACGGGGGTTGGGCTGAGACTGGGAGTTGGTACTGGATGGTGCAGGAAGTTTATTAGAGGTTCAGCTTGGTGAGGGTCTACTGCTCAGAACTGAGGCTGGTGACTTGATTAGATTTGGGTTTGGCTTCGAGTTGGGGACCAAGGGGCATTGAGCTGGGTAAGTCTGAGAGTTCTAATTAAGATTGGGCTGGGTTTTGAGTTTGAAATGGGTGAATATGGGGTCAAGGAGAATTGCAGATTGGGTTGTAGCTGGAGCTGAGGCTTGTTGAGCTTAAGTTAGATAGGGCTAGACTATTGATAAAGAGCCAAATCTGTTGAAATGTGGCTGGAAATCCCCTAATATTATAGGTGATGTTGTTGTTTTTTTGTCCTTTTTCCATCATCCCCAAGCTCCATCAGTGCCATTGGCAGCAATTGATCCCAAAATTAGGAGTAGGAGGTTGGGGGATAGGAAGAGAGAAGGGTGGAGTGTCTAAAAAAGGCTTTAAAAAAACACACCTTGCCATTCCCAATGTTGGAACAATTGTCTCAGTTCTTTCCCCTTTTAAGGTCTCTTCTCTCCTTTCCTGGGACTGGCTCCAGCATTACTGACTCAACCCTCTCCCTCCCCTTCCCCCTGTCCTTCTATGCTTCCTATTGTCTCTCCTCTTGAGGGATACTAACATGGTTGTTCCTAGAGCGAGTGGCAGACTGTTGGATGAATGGAAAATGCCGGTTGATGTGTAAAGATGATGAAGAGAATGTCCTACGCTGCTCAAACCGTAAACGGTGCTGTATCCTTAGTCGTTACTTAACAATGGATCCAGTAACAATTGATGGACCGTTCCCCTGGACCACTCCTAAGCTGACCAGAAAACCAAAAGCACCTAAGCCCAGACCTGGACACAGAATTGGAAGATAAATGGAAATTGTGGGTTGAAATGACTTTGCTTCCAGTTTGTTAGTTTTCGCATTCCATTAAAACTCGCAAATCTGTTTCTTGTGCCTGTCAATCATGAGACATGATGCTCCAGATGCACTGAGGGTGAGGAGATGGCCAGGGAGGGGTCAGGAGGTAGCAGAGAGACACCGCCGAGGCTGGGCCACAGCGGTGGCGTGATGATTACAGTTTGGAAGATGGTTCCTCATCTTCCAGCTGCAGGAAGGGGTATCGGGTCAGGAGTGGACGGAGCAGCACACGTGGAAAACCGAGATTTAAAGACACAGCAGATACCCAGAGAGTGGGAGAACCCTGGGGCTGCTGGGAGAGTTGGTCCATCCTGGGGGTGAATGGACTGGGGGTGGACAGGGACTGAATAGAGCCAAATCCTTGGATTTCTGGGTAAGTTGACTGAGATGCCTTTGGATGCTCAAGAGCCCACAGCCCCAAGGATCCGAAAGTTTCTAAGTACTAAAAAAGATAAAGTACACGCATTAACCAATTTATAAATGCATCTGTTATTCATTATTTACATTCTCTCATGGACTCAGTTATTCATTCATTCACCTCAGCTCTGTCACGTGTACTGTCAGGCTCTCTGACCTCTCAGAACGCCGGCTCCCCTGCCTGTGAGATCGGAATGACAGACGCTGTCTCAGGGCGGGTGGGAATGGAATGAGAAAACGCAAAGCACGGTGCCCTGTCCATAGGACGTTGTCCGCAAATGCTAGTTGCTGCGGTTGTTCGCTGATTTAAGGCGTTTGAGGGATGAATATGTGTTGTGTGTCTTCCAATGGTGTTAGATTCTGAGGGACGTAAAGGCCTGTTTCATTTGAACTAAGAGAAGGCTCACCTGC